TTTAGGCCAAAATACAGCTGTGGCTTGGGGTTTAGGCCAAAATACAGCTGTGGCTTGGGCTTTAGGCCCAAATACAGCTGTGGCTTGGGCTTTAGGCCAAAATACAGCTGTGGCTTGGGCTTTAGGCCAAAATACAGCTGTGGCTTGGGCTTTAGGCCCAAATACAGCTGTGGCTTGGGCTTTAGGCCAAAATACAGCTGTGGCTTGGGCTTTAGGCCAAAATACAGCTGTGGCTTGGGCTTTAGGCCAAAATACAGCTGTGGCTTGGGCTTTAGGCCGACAGCTGTCGTGGGGCTCTCTATGTCGCCCTCTTCAGATCAGACCTTCTAGCCACCATCCATCTCAACCCCAGATACGCCTTTCCCCTATTCTCTGGGATAACCGGCTCCGCTCCGACTCCTCCCGTCTCCCGTCTCCCTCACTGCCCCCCTTCACCTCTTTGTACCGTTACTCACCTCATGCCACCCTTCCCCTAATCTGCGAACCCCCCTCGCGCCTCTCAGGGCAAACAAGACCAGCCATGTACTCTGGGATAGACGTCTCGGATCTCCTCCTGGCTCCCCTTTCTCCCCGTGCCTCCTCCCTTTCATCCCCTTGTACCGTTACTCACTCCCTATATGCCTTCCTCCTATCCCTTCCCCCCCGTCCTCCCTTTTTTCCCTCTCAGGGCGAACAAGGCAAGACATGTACTCTGGCTTGGATTGACGACTCGGACCTCCCCCCGGCTCCCCTCTCTCTCCCTGCTGCCATTCATTACTCACCCTGTAACCATGTTTCCCCTATGCTGCCACTCCCTTCCCCGCTCAACCCTGCTCCATCTACTCAGGGCGAACAAGGCCAGCCATGTACTCTGGGATTGACGTCTCGGACCTCCTCCCGGTTCCCCCCTCCCTCCCTGCCCTCCCCTTCCATCCCTTTGTACCGTTACTCATCCCCTAACTCCCGTTTATTTCCTTCTCTCCCCTCCCCTCTCTCAGGGCCAACAAGGCCATGTACTCTGGGATAGACGACTCAGACCTCCTCCCTGCTCCCCTCTCTCACTCTCTTGTCATATCCCCCTTTCCCCTATGCTGCCCCTCAATCCCCCACCCTTGCCCCCACCCCTCTCCCCCGCTCCCTCAGGGCGAACAAGGCCATGTACTCTGGGATAGATGACTCGGACCTTCTCCCGGCTCCCCTCTAACTCTTTACTTCGCAGCTCACATGCCCCCGCTTTTCCATGCCCCGTTCTTGCAGGGCGAACAAGGCCATGTATTCTGGGATAGATGACTCCGACCTACTCCCGGTTCCCCTCTCCCTCCCTGCCGCCACCGCAACTGACGGCACCGGGACCAATAGCAGCGTGCCAGCTGTCCAGATGCCAATTCTGATTGGTCCAAACGAGGGAGCGGAGGGGGAGGAGGCGGATGAGGAGGGGAGGAGGGTGGGTGGAAGGGGTGCGGGGACAGGGGACGTGGCGGTTATAGCTGGGGAGGGGGGAGGAGGGAGAGCGGGAGTGAGTGGAGGGGAAGGTGAGGTAGGGAGAGGGAAGAGCGAGGGGGGGACGAGAGCAGAACACTGGACAGCTGAAGAGGCAGAGAGAGAAGCGAGGGACTATGAAACCAGTGCCGCCGCCACTGCCGCTGCTGCCGCCGCCGCTGGTGGTAGTGGTGGTGGTGGTGCTGCTGCTGCTGCAGGAGAGAACCAACAGCAGAACCAGGAGCTTCAACTTCAAGTCCCGGGGCTGATATCCCGTGCCATGCTGCCTCGCTCTCAGTGGGTGAATCTAGTGATGCTAGATGTGATCAAGGAGAGAAACAGGCCGATTCAGCCGCCCAAGAAGCCTGAGCAGGCGCCCTTCTTCCTCCCCTCCGTACCGACGTTCTCGGGGGCGATCCACTTTGCTCCTCCCCAGGCCGCTGCTGCTGTTGCTGCTGGCTCGGCCGAACCTGCCGGCTCGGCTGGTTCGGCCGAACCTACTGGTAGCACCGCTGCTGCTGCTGATGGTGTTGCAGGTGCTTCAGGTGGTTCTTCAGGCGGTGCTTTGCCTGGATGGGGGAGTGAAGGAGACGCGGAGATGGAGGAAGGGGAGGAGGAGGAGGGAGAGGAGGGGAGTGAGGAGGGGGAGGAGGGAGGAGCGGAAGGGGAGGAGGGAGGAGAGAGGGCAGAGGAGGGAGGGAAGAAGGGGGGTGTGTTGGGGAAGAGGAGGCATGGGAGGGTGATGCGAGGAGGTCTGGAGGACTCTGAAATGGACACTGAGCTGATGAGGGCCATCAGAAGAGGAGCTCAGTGCGACCCAGCAGACTGTGAGTGATTTTGGTGGTGCTGTTTGTCGTGTAACACATGCGCCACACTGTGGCAGGGCATGCACTGCACCCCACAGGAGGGAGGTCTAGAGGACTCTGAGATGGACACGGAGCTGATGAGGGCGATCAGAAGAGGCGCACAGAGCGAGTCAGCAGACTGTGAGTGGCTTGTCTCTCTCTCTCTCTCTCTCACTAGCCAAGATGAGGGTGCTTGTCTCCCACTAGCCTAGCCAGTCTGTTGAGGTATTCACTCTCCAAAAAGGAGGACTGGAGGAGTTTGAAATGGACACGGAGCTGATGAGGGCCATCAGAAGAGGAGCACAGAGCGAGCCAGCAGACTGTGAGTGGCTTGTCTCTCATGGCATTTACGGGTCTGGGGGGATGTACCTCGCAGAGGGGAGGTCTGGAGGAGTGTGAGGTGGACATAGATCTTCAGTTGATTTTCGGGACCTTGACTCACTCACTACATGCACGGGACTGTGAGTGGCTTCATTAGTAACAGGCCACAAGCCATTGAGGTGAGTTTTGTTTGAGGCGCCTCAAAACTCACCTCAATGAGTGGCTTCTTTTGTTAAAGGCCACAAGCCATGGCACTGCTGAAAGCCAAGCACAATCAGCCGTTGATCTCAACATCTTCCCCACTCGATCACCTCCTCCCCTCCTCACCTTTCCCTACGGAAATCCATGTCCCCGTCAGCCGTTGATCTTGAGATTTCCTGATTCTCTTTCCCTCCTCATCTCACTCAAATCGCTTTCCCTTCTCTCTTCCCCACCTCGCTCTCTCTTCTATTAACAGACTCCCAAGCTACGGCTCTGCTGAAGGTCATGTCGCCGTCAGCCGTTGATTTGGAGCTGCGGGCGATCGAGATCGTTGATGACAGCCCCTCCCCGGCGGACCTGCACCGGGTGGCTCTCTTCATGTCCTTCCTCGAGGGGAAGCTTCGTGGAAGCTGCGACTTTGAGCTGCTGCAAGCCGTGACGCACCGATTCCTGGCGGTACGTGCGTGGTTGCGTGGGAATGAGAACTAGGGCTGCTAGGGCTCTATGTTTCAGGGGTTTTAGGGTTTGATGTGTAATGCTAAGGGGTTAAGGGTTGGGGTTTGGGAGGTGGGCGATCGAGATCGTCGATGACAGCCCCTCCTCGGCGGACCTGAACCGGGTGGCTCTCTACATGTGCTTTCTTGAGGGGAAGCATCGAGGAAGTTGCGACTTCAAGCTGCTACAAGCCATGATGCACCGATTTCTGGCGGTGGGTGCATGGCCATGTTAGGGAGTGTGGATCTGGGCTAGGGTAATTCAGGGGGTTCAGGGTTTATGGGTCGAAGTTTAGGGTTTAAGGTATGAGATCTGGAGCTGCGTCCGAACGAGATGGTCGATGACAGCCCCTCACAAGGGGATCTGCACGACGTTTCTGACTTTGTGTTCCCGCTGTGTCTTTTTCCCCATCGCAGATCCACGGGTCAGCCATCTCCTCATTCCCTCAGCTGCGCTGCGCGCCAAGCTGCCCGCCCTCAGAGCAGCCCTTTCAACTGACTCATTACAACAGCACTGTTCCACTTCAGCCGTTCCTGTGTTCCTCCCTTCTCTTCTCCTGTATCTCTCTTCCTCTGCAGATCCACGGGTCAGCCATCTCCTCATTCCCCCAGCTGCGCGCCAAGCTGCCTGCCCTCAAAGAAGCACAGGCATCCAGCTGGCAGCGGCTCGACGAGCTCTTTCAGAGCATTCGCTGCGTTGTAGATTTTATCGCATCCTCCTAGATACATTCGCTGCGCTGACGCTACGAGCTCCTTTCCAGAACGACTTTGAGGCTCTCTAAAGACGGCATGCAGCTGGCAGCGGTTGGACGAGCTCTTTCAGGCCATTCGCTGCGTCGTCGTGGATTTCGTCGCTTCATCATACTGTATATCGGATTGAGTCGACTAATACAAATGGTGTCAGCATGAAAACCAATGCAAGTTGCGCAAATTACTGTGTGCAGAGGAGAAAATCCTCCTGTTGCCTGTATCAGTCGGTGCAGTGATTCGTGACAAAGGAGTTTACCATAAGTTTATGGTCTTGAATCGAATTGAATGGTTTAGAATGAGAACACCTTACCGAACCGCACAATCAATGCGTCACACTGCTTTTACCATAGCAAACCCATGTTCATTAGTACAAAATATAGTATACTTCCAACATCAAGAAAAGCACCTGATGCATCGGCCTTGCATGAGTTCCTGCACGCTGCAATACCACAGTCTCTTACTTGTGTACTGTTATTATTCCTAAGAGTACTGTAGAAAACTATCGGCCTCTCCTTGAGCTGACAGGTGCCTGCTGCTGCTGCTGCCGGCTCTTCGGGGGTGGCTGCCTTGCTGTCTGCTCCAGTGTTGCCTCCATCTCCTCCTCTGCCTCCTGGAGATTGGAAAAAGTGGGCGGCCGAGAACAGTAGCAGGGGGGGGGAAAGAGCAGGAAGATTATGTGGGGTTGCCTGCCTCGGCTGTCTGCTCCAGTGTTGCCTCCATCTCCTCTTCGGCCTCCTGGGGAGCACATACATGGAGAGCAGAGGAAAGGGTAGGAGGTTGAGAGGGCAGGAGAGACCGTGGGAGAGTTCTCTGGAACAAAAGGCTGCCTGCCTTGCTGTCTGCTCCAGTGTTGCCTCCGTCTCCTCTTCTGCCTCCTGAGGCACGTGGAGTAAAAGGATGGATAGGGCAGGAGGAGAGGGCAGCAGGAGGGTCATGGGAACGCAAGGGCGCCTGTCTCGCTGTCTGCTCCAGTGTTGCCTTCATCTCCTCCTCTGCCTCCTAAGGAGTGGAGAGAGGAGGGGGCGAGGGAGAGGGCACAAAAAGGGGACAGCAGGAGGGACGCGTGAAGCAGAGGGGTGCCTGCCTTGCTGTCTGCTCCAGTGTTGCCTCCATCTCCTCCTCTGCCTCCTGTGAAGAGGACAGAGGAGAGAGGAGGAGAGAGGAGTGGAGAGGAGAGGAGAGGTGAGGAGATGAAAAGGGAGGAGAGGAGAGGAGAGGAGAAATCACCACTTCGGCTTGAAACTGGGCACCTTTAATGGCACGGATTGAATCATGCACAGGTGACTTTTGAGTCGACTCAAAAGTCAATGCACAGGGCACAGCACCACATCACAGTGCTTATAGCAGAGCACAAGGTCACACCATCACATCACCACCACAACTCACCACCATGGCTTGGAACTGCTGCTCCTCATCTATCGCATCCAACACCTTGGGATCGTTTAGAAGCTCCTGAGGGGATGAAAGAGTGAAGTCACGGACGATAGAGAGGGAGGGAGAAAGGAGGTCAATGAACAGATTTGCGACGAGTAAACATCTCTGAGCGAAAGATTTGCCATGAGTGTACCCTGGGCGTATAAAACAAGTGCACAGACAGCAATCAAGGTGAGCCTATATAGACGTGGCTATACACTTGTATTCTTTTCATGAATTCAAGCAACAAAAGGCAAAAACAAAGAGAAAGGAAACACTACAATGGACTTACAGGATCTTCAGCCACAAGAATCTCGCTAGTCTTTGGGTCCTGATTGGGAATAGAACAAGAGGTCATGGGATAAAGGGGAGGGGACAATGTGATGATGTGCAATCAAAAGAACTGAGTCAAAGAGAAACGGGTTACAACTTAGAGATGATGAAATCAGAGCGTTAATAGCAACGATGAAATACTGATTTCGAAGAAAGCGCAAGAACACATTCGGTGCTCGGGGGGAAAGGAGGAAGGCATGGGTCAACAGTATGTGCATAATGCAGTATACAAGAAGTATAAAAAAACCAATCAGCCACGACGAGTGATGCATGGGGTGAGATGGGGTCCTTGCCTTGTATGCGACGAACATGAGTGGGTCGAAAGGCGTGTATATCATGTACTCCTGCCCGCCCTGGTGGTGTGTGTAAGGGGATGAGTGGGGGTGAAAGATGGGATGGGAAGCAAGGATAGGAGCTGACTCAGAAGCACATGTCACATGAGAGGGTCGAAGGGCGTGTATATCATGTACTCCTGCCCGCCCTGGTGGGAGATGGGTGCGAGGACAGGAGGATCAAAGGGCGTGGTGAGGTTGGGAAACTCAGATGCATGCGGGATCACTCATACAAACGTGAGAGGGTCGAAGGGCGTGTATATCATGTACTCTTGGCCGCCCTGGTGGTGATGGCAGATGGTGGATGGAGGGGTCGATGAGCGTGTGGATAGATCTATACTGAACCAGCTCAACCCCTTGGGTAAGCACAACTTACAGACAGGAAGGTGGTGTTGTCAACCCCGCCTTGAAACAACAAGCCTCCAATGCCAAACCCCAGCTCTGCAGTTGCGAGTGTAGGGTACTTCTTGAAAGATACTTCAAATAACTTGAACCACCTCAAATCACTTAAAAGGGTAGAAAAAAAGAACTTACAGACAGGAACGTGGTGATGTCAACCCCTTCAGCCAGGGATCCCCCGATGCCAAAGCCCAGCTCTGCAGTCTCGCGTGTAAGGGGGGGGTGTGAGAAGAAGGAAAGAAGGATAGGAAGACAAAACATTGAGATTTTCTGTATCGGCATCTTTTGAAATCACTCTTTTATTTTGACTTCACTCACGCCTCATGCCCCATGTTCCAAGCCCCATGAGCCCATGACTCATGCCTTACAATGCCTGCACCATGCCCCATGCCACACGTCTCACGCCCCATGTCCCTCCCAAGCCGCATGACATCAGCATGACCTCACCAGTGTCCAGGTTGATGACGTCATCCTCTGTGAAGCAGATGGCTCCTCTAAGGGTGAGGGTGAATCTGCGAGGAGAAGAGGGAGGGACATTGGTGGGGGGTTGTCAAGTACGGGAAGAGGAGGAGGATAAGGGCGATGAGAGGATAAGGGCGATGAGAGGAAAGCAGCTCCAACTTAAAGGGACAGACTGAAGGTACAGACAGACTGAAGGTACAGACAGACTGAAGGTACAGCAGATGGTTCATCTGAGGGTGAGAGTGAAGCTGCGAGGGGGGAGGCAAGGGAGCGGGAAGGGGATGGCGACGGGGAAGAACATTGGAATAGGAGGAATGAAAGGGTGACAAGAGGGATTAGAGTTAGCGGCTGTGTGAAGGTGAAGCAGATGGGTCCTCTGCAACTCTATCATATCTGTTTTTCATGCTCACCTGCATGATGGCGTCATGTTTTTAGAACTCTCTCTAAAAAAAACGACAGAAAATGCTAAAATATATATATATGTATATATATGTATATATATATATATATATCAACTACATTTCTCGTACTCACCTGCATGATGGCTCCTCATCGTGCACCTTCTGTAGCAGCTACAGCCGCACCTCACGACCTGGTTTTTGAGAATTCTCAAAAACCTCCTCATCGTGCACCTTCTGTAGCAGCTACAGCCGCACCTCACGACCCCGCGTCAGCCTGTCTCCCAACACTCAGTCCACCCGGATGCACGCGAATGCAGCAGCGGGCATGATCCGTTCCGCTCCGCCTCCTCATCATCCGCTTCGTTCAGCTACAGCCTCACCTCAGCCTACCCCGTAACCCCACCCGGAGGGTGTCAGGTGCAGGCTCTTCTTGGCTAATGCGTACGCAGCAGCCGGCATAATTCTCTCCGCCTCCTCATCATCCACCTCTTCTCAAAAACGAGGTCTCTAGTCAGATGCTTTCAGTCTCACCCTGAGGGAGTCAAGTGCAGGCTCTTCTTGGCGAGAGCATAAGCGGCAGCCGGCATGATTCGCTCCGCCTCCTCATCATCCACCTCTTCTCAAAAACGAGGTCTCTAGTCAGATGCTTTCAGTCTCACCCTGAGGGAGTCAAGTGCAGGCTCTTCTTGGCGAGAGCATAAGCGGCAGCCGGCATGATTCGCTCCGCCTCCTCATCATCCACCTCTTCTCAAAAACGAGGTCTCTAGTCAGATGCTTTCAGTCTCACCCTGAGGGAGTCAAGTGCAGGCTCTTCTTGGCGAGAGCATAAGCGGCAGCCGGCATGATTCGCTCCGCCTCCTCATCATCCACCTCCTGTAGCTCTCCCGTTCGCCCAGAGATGCGGAAAAACATGATGGGGCTGGAAGGAAGTGGTGGGAGAGAAGGGGGGGAAGGGGAGGAACAGACTAGGTGTATCGGCATGATCCTCTCCGCTCCGCCTCCTCATCATCCACTTCTTGCAGCTCGCCTGTTCTTCCGGACATGCGGAAGAACATGATTGGTCTGCAATCAAGTGCGAAGAAGAGCGGATTGGGGAGGGATGGCGAGAGATCCGCACGTGTCGAGAGGGTGGGGCAGGAAAGTTGGAACGAAATTCGACAGGAACCAGACGAGCTTGGATATATAGGGAACAAGTATCGAGGCGACTCAAAACTCTTTCAGCATATAATCCCATGTGATGTGATGAGGCGGTTTTGAGTCCACTAAAAAATCGCCTCACAAGGAACGGGGCGAGTTTGGAGAAGTGGAGAACAGGTATCGAGGCTCCTGTCTCATAGCTTGATTATAAAGAATATCAAAGAGGAACGGGAACGAACGTGTCGAGCGGGTGCAGAAGGAAAAAGGAGACGCCGAGCGAGTTGGAGAAGCAGGGGAGGCATATAGAGACGACTTAAACCCAATAACCAGTAGAAAGAAGCAGGAGGAGGAACGGAACGCACGTGTCGAGCGGGTGCAGAAGGAAGAAGGGGACGCCGAGCGAGTTGGAGAAGGCGCGTCGAATGACACAGTCCAAGGAGCGGTTGGTGATGGGATCGTGCTGCAGACAATTGGGGGAAATCAATAAAGTAAGGAGAAGGGGACAATGAGGTTCAATGAGGGGCAAGCGAGTTGGAGAAGGCGCGTCGAATGACACAATCCAAGGAGCGGTTGGTGATGGGGTCGTGCTGCAGGGAAGGGAGAAGGGAAGATGGGAAGGCATGAGAAACTGAGTGTTGGGAAAGCATGGCGCCGCATGACACAATCCAATGAGCGGTTGGTGATGGGATCGTGCTGCAGACAAGAAGGAGGAAGATGGGATGAGATGGGGGAGAGGTGAGAGCGGGCAGGGCAGACATGAATGCTGAAGAAAGCGCGATGAATGACACAATCCTACTTTTGAGTCGACTCAAAATTGCGTGTAATGAGCCTGCTTTTGAGTCGACTCAAAATTGCGTGTAATGAGTCTGCTTTTGAGTCGACTCAAAATCGCGTGTAATGAGTCTGCTTTTGAGTCGACTCAAAATCGCGTGTAATGAGTCTGCTTTTGAGTCGACTCAAAATCGCGTGTAATGAGTCTGCTTTTGAGTCGACTCAAAATCGCGTGTAATGAGTCTGCTTTTGAGTCGACTCAAAATCGCGTGTAATCAGTCTGCTTTTGAGTCGACTCAAAAGCAGATGGGATGAGATGGGGGAGAGAGAGGTGAGAGCGGGCAGGGCATACACGAATGCTGAAGAAAGCGTGTTGAATGACACAATCCTATGACCGGGTGGTGATGGGGTCATGCTGTATGTTGAAGGAAAGCAAGGGGGGTGGAAGGGACAATAAAGGGCAATGAGAGTGGTGCAATCGCCAAAAAGGTGACATGGTACCCACCCAGCAGCACTAACAGCAGAGCAGGCCGGCCAACATTCACGATGGTGAGTGTTCTCCACTCAGCAGGTGCAGCCAGCCAGCACCACCTCCCCCTCATCATCCAGGACAAACCCCGCCGATGGACCAGTTGTGTTGCTGCCATGGGTAACATGGTAACTAGCTAGTGACTACCCAACCACTACGGCATTAGCAGCAGCACAGGCCAACACTCACAATGGTGAGTGTTCTCCACTCAGCAGGTGCAGCCAGCACCACCTCCCCCTCATCATCCAGGACAAACCCCGCCGATGGACCAGTTGTGTTGCTGCCATGGGTAACATGGTAACTAGCTAGTGACTACCCAACCACTACGGCATTAGCAGCAGCACAGGCCAACACTCACAATGGTGAGTGTTCTCCACTCAGCAGGTGCAGGAGCAGCCAGCACCACCTCCCCCTCATCATCCAGGACAAACCCTGCCGGTGGATTTTTGACATAGTAATAACCTCGACACATTAACTCACGATGGTCAGCGTTAGTCGTTCGGCAGGTGCGGCCAGCACCACCTCTCCCTCATCGTCCAGCACAAACCCCACACAAACGGACCTGACTGTTCCAACCACCGGACATTGGAGTCCCATAAACACAACCTCACAACAATGGTCAATGTTCTCCTCTCGCAGCAGGTGCAGCCAGCACCACCTCTCCCTCATCGTCCAGCACAAACCCCACACAAACGGACCTGACTGTTCCAACCACCGGACATTGGAGTCCCATAAACACAAACTCACAACAATGGTCAATGTTCTCCTCTCGCAGCAGGTGCAGCCAGCACCACCTCTCCCTCATCGTCCAGCACAAACCCCACACAAACGGACCTGACTGTTCCAACCACCGGACATTGGAGTCCCATAAACACAAACTCACAACAATGGTCAATGTTCTCCTCTCGCAGCAGGTGCAGCCAGCACCACCTCTCCCTCATCGTCCAGCACAAACCCCACACAAACGGACCTGACTGTTCCAACCACCGGACATTGGAGTCCCATAAACACAAACTCACAACAATGGTCAATGTTCTCCTCTCGCAGCAGGTGCAGCCAGCACCACCTCTCCCTCATCGTCCAGCACAAACCCCACACAAACGGACCTGACTGTTCCAACCACCGGACATTGGAGTCCCATAAACACAAACTCACAACAATGGTCAATGTTCTCCTCTCGCAGCAGGTGCAGCCAGCACCACCTCTCCCTCATCGTCCAGCACAAACCCCACACAAACGGACCTGACTGTTCCAACCACCGGACATTGGAGTCCCATAAACACAACCTCACAACAATGGTCAATGTTCTCCTCTCGCAGCAGGTGCAGCCAGCACCACCTCTCCCTCATCGTCCAGCACAAACCCCACACAAACGGACCTGACTGTTCCAACCACCGGACATTGGAGTCCCATAAACACAAACTCACAACAATGGTCAATGTTCTCCTCTCGCAGCAGGTGCAGCCAGCACCACCTCTCCCTCATCGTCCAGCACAAACCCCACACAAACGGACCTGACTGTTCCAACCACCGGACATTGGAGTCCCATAAACACAAACTCACAACAATGGTCAATGTTCTCCTCTCGCAGCAGGTGCAGCCAGCACCACCTCTCCCTCATCGTCCAGCACAAACCCCACACAAACGGACCTGACTGTTCCAACCACCGGACATTGGAGTCCCATAAACACAAACTCACAACAATGGTCAATGTTCTCCTCTCGCAGCAGGTGCAGCCAGCACCACCTCTCCCTCATCGTCCAGCACAAACCCCACACAAACGGACCTGACTGTTCCAACCACCGGACATTGGAGTCCCATAAACACAAACTCACAACAATGGTCAATGTTCTCCTCTCGCAGCAGGTGCAGCCAGCACCACCTCTCCCTCATCGTCCAGCACAAACCCCACACAAACGGACCTGACTGTTCCAACCACCGGACATTGGAGTCCCATAAACACAAACTCACAACAATGGTCAATGTTCTCCTCTCGCAGCAGGTGCAGCCAGCACCACCTCTCCCTCATCGTCCAGCACAAACCCCACACAAACGGACCTGACTGTTCCAACCACCGGACATTGGAGTCCCATAAACACAACCTCACAACAATGGTCAATGTTCTCCTCTCGCAGCAGGTGCAGCCAGCACCACCTCTCCCTCATCGTCCAGCACAAACCCCACACAAACGGACCTGACTGTTCCAACCACCGGACATTGGAGTCCCATAAACACAAACTCACAACAATGGTCAATGTTCTCCTCTCGCAGCAGGTGCAGCCAGCACCACCTCTCCCTCATCGTCCAGCACAAACCCCACACAAACGGACCTGACTGTTCCAACCACCGGACATTGGAGTCCCATAAACACAACCTCACAACAATGGTCAATGTTCTCCTCTCGCAGCAGGTGCAGCCAGCACCACCTCTCCCTCATCGTCCAGCACAAACCCCACACAAACGGACCTGACTGTTCCAACCACCGGACATTGGAGTCCCATAAACACAACCTCACAACAATGGTCAATGTTCTCCTCTCGCAGCAGGTGCAGCCAGCACCACCTCTCCCTCATCGTCCAGCACAAACCCCACACAAACGGACCTGACTGTTCCAACCACCGGACATTGGAGTCCCATAAACACAAACTCACAACAATGGTCAATGTTCTCCTCTCGCAGCAGGTGCAGCCAGCACCACCTCTCCCTCATCGTCCAGCACAAACCCCACACAAACGGACCTGACTGTTCCAACCACCGGACATTGGAGTCCCATAAACACAACCTCACAACAATGGTCAATGTTCTCCTCTCGCAGCAGGTGCAGCCAGCACCACCTCTCCCTCATCGTCCAGCACAAACCCCACACAAACGGACCTGACTGTTCCAACCACCGGACATTGGAGTCCCATAAACACAAACTCACAACAATGGTCAATGTTCTCCTCTCGCAGCAGGTGCAGCCAGCACCACCTCTCCCTCATCGTCCAGCACAAACCCCACACAAACGGACCTGACTGTTCCAACCACCGGACATTGGAGTCCCATAAACACAACCTCACAACAATGGTCAATGTTCTCCTCTCGCAGCAGGTGCAGCCAGCACCACCTCTCCCTCATCGTCCAGCACAAACCCCACACAAACGGACCTGACTGTTCCAACCACCGGACATTGGAGTCCCATAAACACAACCTCACAACAATGGTCAATGTTCTCCTCTCGCAGCAGGTGCAGCCAGCACCACCTCTCCCTCATCGTCCAGCACAAACCCCACACAAACGGACCTGACTGTTCCAACCACCGGACATTGGAGTCCCATAAACACAAACTCACAACAATGGTCAATGTTCTCCTCTCGCAGCAGGTGCAGCCAGCACCACCTCTCCCTCATCGTCCAGCACAAACCCCACACAAACGGACCTGACTGTTCCAACCACCGGACATTGGAGTCCCATAAACACAAACTCACAACAATGGTCAATGTTCTCCTCTCGCAGCAGGTGCAGCCAGCACCACCTCTCCCTCATCGTCCAGCACAAACCCCAC